ATTCGTTATTCTCGGGTCAAAATACCCCCAGATACCGAATTTCAGGTGAATCCATTGGCAAAAAAATCGAGTTTGTCAAATTTTCGGCCACTTTGAGCCTAAACCGGCGGCCATTTTGAAAAATTAGGGTTTTTTTAAAAATCTAACGTCAAATTCGTTTTTCTCGTGCCAAAATACCCCCAGATACCGAGTTTCAAGCAAATCCATGTGCAAATAGCAGAGGTGCCAATTTTCGGCCATTTTGAACTTTGACCGGCCGCCATTTTGAAACGGTTTGAGATAATGACTTCGGGTTTGCGCGAAAAATTTTCTTTTTTTATGCTCTTTCGAACGAGGTATCACAAAAGGGGGTCTTCCCATTTGAAAATTAAAAGTTAGGGTCCGTAACCCCCCCCAAAATGGGGCCTCCCAAAATTTTGGGGGGGTCAAAAAGTAGCTCCCTTTGATCTAGGAACACCCTCCAAGTTTCAAGTCTCTACCTCAATTAGGTCAAAAGTTAGAGGGGGGGAGGGGACTTTTCGAACACCCTGTAGGTCTGTTTGGTAGAAGTACGTCCAGTTATTAAGTTGCCAGCTACCGTGCGGTAGTTACGATAAGCACCGGGTTAGTTGTTGTAACTACCGCACGGTAGCTGGCGCATTTTTAACTAGCCGCTGGTTGTGTCGACTACCCTATTTTTTTCCGTGTAGAGAGGATGTATCGTAATCGTGGCGAGGCATGATACTTTTCATTCTGGACTCGCCTTAAGGTAAGGTCGTTTCCTAGCTCCTTGCCTCTTTCGGTTGTAATCGCCAAAGATGCTGTATAGTTGTACACGGCCACATTCAATCCAATTCAATTAAATCGTAGCATTGTGCTACGATTCAAACGAGAAGCGGCTGGAACGGATCCAAAGAGAATACGACGGATCAAATGTCATGAGAGCTGATTGACGATCTTCGAGCCGTGGGCCTGGACTCCCGGAGTCGCGGTCAGGTGAGAAAACGTGGACGGTGATTAGCCGAGTCCGAGGTTACGAGATTCGCATTGATCCTCGTTTCGTCCTTGCTCTTCTCTGTTCCGCGAGGTCTCTGACTCGGACGCGGATCTTTTGTCTCAGCGTTGGCGTCGGGACGCTGGAGATGCCCTCCGGGACGCTGGAGCCCCCGGCGCCGCAGTGGCCGATGCGAATAATCTCGGTTCAATGCCACTTCTTTTGGAATTTAGGAGTCGAAGAGATGAGCCCTAAAAGACGCACAGTTGCCGAAATAAGATCCTCGGCGACCGATGAAGTGCTAGTTGGTCGAATGCAATGGTAACCGGGAAAACTGGAGACGAGTAATGTTAGGTCGATGGACAGGGTGTCTGCAAGTCCGACTCCGACTGGTTGCGTCCGGAAAGTCCGGAAATAACGCTGATTTTTTAAGAGAGGTCCGGAAGTACTGAAAATGTGAGAAAATTCGGAAAAGCTCCGAAATTTTTTGCATTTTATTGTCATTTGTGTCGCAACTTGAGCGAGAAATTCAAATTTTTGAAACTTTTTGAATTTTGTCAATTGGAAGTACTGAAAGAGTACTCAATTTCTTTGTTGAGGAGGTGCTGAATTTCTTGGGAATGTACTGAAAAAGTACTGTTAAAGTACTGATTTTTAGCCAGCCTGTTTTAGTAGACGCACGGACTGGAGTGTCTCAGACGAAGACAAATGACGAAACTTCATGACAACAAAAATATTTGTTTCTTTGAAAGTTATTGTTGCACTATGAGCCAAAATTCTATGTTCCCCTCTAAATTTTCGTTAGGATTCTTCAATTTCCTCTAAATTGCTACTATATTTTTGAAATATTTTCTTTATTATTACATTTTCGCAAAAGGAATAAAAATTCCTAAAAAAAAAACTCCTCAATCACTTGCCACCCTTCTCCTTTGACACGATCTACGGAGTGTGAAATTTGGCATATGCTGCGCACCTCTTAGTCGGTGTATTTTACTGCATTATGGTCGGGTCCACTGTAAAACTAATGATGATTAAAGTTTATGGTTGAAAATGATTGAAAATGACTCAACTTTAGCTAAAAATTAGAATAATTCAGTCCACTCATATTTATAAAAATCTTCCAACACTTTCCTACACGAGAAATTTTGTTTCTTTTTCATCTAAAATTATATTTTTGTTTGCGCTTCTGATTTTATTGGTCCAGCTTTTTATCACTTCACAACAGAATTTGGCTTTGCGTGATCGTTCAATTCAAAGCAACCTAGCAGCTTTAATTTTTTTAAAATATCCTAATGAATATTTTACGTTGCTATAATAAACTAATGTATGTTTCTTTTTCCTTTTTTTGCAGGTAAGCTCAAACCTCTTGGAATTTTTAAAGACCACTTGGGCCAGTATCGTAAGTCACAGTTACTTGTCACTAACATGTTGTCGTGAAATTCAAATGGGTTTTTAGACAAGGTCTGAAGTATAAGAAGACGTCACATGTTTTCTCTTCTAAATCTCACACAGGATACAATTCACACAACGGGAAGTTTTGAAATCAGCTCCTGAACGAGATATTAACGATTCTTATAAACACAGATGAAATGGAAATTAAATTATACAAATGACGTCTTTTGTTCTCATGCCATTTTACCAATGCAAATAGAAAGCACTTATTTCTTGTTCAGGAGTTGATTTTTACACTTCCCACCGTATGATTCGTTTTCCTTCTGTGGCGTGGCGTGCTTTGCGGTATATCGAATGATCTGTCATCTAAACCCATGGAAAATTATCGATAAACAGGGTGTTCGCAGCGAACAACTTAATAATCGAATATTTACCACAGCTTCAAATGGGGAAATATCGATAGATCGCAAAGCACGCCACGCTACGGAATTTTGAAGAGAAATTTTGAGTATGGGTTAATAAATTGAGAGTATGGAGTGATCCTATTGGTTGAAGTGGGTATAGTTCCTATATGGACATGGGGAGAAAATGACGGACTAACTATGGGGTCTCTCGTGGGTTTCCGCTAGTTA